ACTTTCAAGTAAGTAATTTTACCTTTTATATAAAGGTTATAAATAAAACTTACTTCTTATCTTCATCCTTGTATACAGGGTGTCCTGGAACTCTCTAACAATATTTTAGGGCATTGTTCCTGAGTAAGAAACATATCTAAATATCATATTTAAATCGTCCGGAAGTCCTTAGTTACTAACACAGCCGCCATTTTGTTTTTTCACTTATTATTTTTTTTCTGGAAAGTGGTTAAAGATACGAAATTGAAACTTTGCAAAAACATTTCTGACAACTAGACAAAGCTACAAAAAAATTATGACAATTTTTCAAATTCACAAAACAAAATGGCGGCTATTTAAACTTATGTTTCTTAAATCACTCAAAAACTGTTTATTTTACAAAAAAATGTAATGGCCGCAATTTTGTTTTATGAGTAAGAAAAATGTTCATAATTTTCTTAGTAGCTTTGTCTAATTGTTATAAATGTTTGTGCAAAGTTTCAACTTTGCATCTTTAACAACTTTTTAGAAAAAAAAAAAATAAGTAAAAAACAAAATGGCGGCTGTGTGAGTAACTTTCTGCACAATTTAAATATGATATTTAGATATGTTTCTTACTCAGGAAGAATGCCCTAAAATATTGGTAGATATTTCCGGGACTCCCTGTATAAACATATTTATGTAAATAAGGATTGAAGCTCATCAAAAACTCATCTCGCGTCTGAGTAGCAAGCTACGTAGTTTCATTAAAAAATCGTGAAACCCTTTTAACCTTTTAATTTCATTTCCTTTAGTCAGCTAATTGTAATTAAATCATATATTTAATAATAATTTTCATTTTGATTGTCAGGTTTAGTTTTTAAAATAAATGTGTAGTTATTTTTAAATGTTTATATCCTATGTTTATTGTATAAAAACTTATTATAAACTAGTAACAATATTTTAGCTTTACATGGCACTAAAATAAACAAACCAGAACACCTGATTTGATGGATTCAAATTAAAAAAAAAATCATTGTACATTGTTAAGATTGTATAAACTGCCTTTGTTGTAGTCTATATATGACAAATCAATGTAAAAATCACTAACTGATTATACAGTTTAAGGGAGCCAACCCTCCCCCTTTAATTTTAATCAGTCAACTTAATCTACCCAAAATATGAACTGTATTGTGTTTATAACCAACAACCAATATACAATTGAGTTTTCTTTGACACATGTTGAAATGTGTTAAGTGCTAAAATTGGAATTTCTCTATGGCAGGCAGTGTGCCAAAACCAGTTATACATGTTTTTCTTTTTAAGAAGTTTATTTTCTCGACTTTACTGTCACTTAAGAATAAAAGTGTTATATTTAAACATATATTATAAGTTAATTTTTTTGTCAGTAAATTTTAATTTTTTGTTAATTGCTGCATTTTTATGAAATACTAATGCAGTTTTACAACCATAATTCCGACTCGTACTCCTTTGCTTACCATACACAAAGATACACTATTAAAAACTATTAAAATCATCCCACAAATTTAGTTGAAGACCCAGTATTTTGATGAAAGTATTTTGTCTATGCAAGCAATAATAACATTTAGGATTGATGTTGGTTTATTTTATATTCTATGGTGAAAACGGCTTCTGATCAATAATCCTTTATTTCAAAAGACACTTTCTTTGATATAAACTTTGCTTGCATATGAATATCATTAAAAAAGAAACAGTTATCTTAGTAATTAACTTAAACAATTTTGTAAACTAACAATAATGCAACAATAAGAACAGCTGATTTAGCTCATGTCAAATTGTTAGGACTGTTACACACATGTGTTAAGTATATTACATAAACAACTATTATAAACACATTGCTTATGCATTAACCACACTTTATGGCGAACAGAGTGAAGTTAACCTCAGATGAAAACTCAATGTTTACAATGGTTAAGTATTGATACGCTAAGTAAGGTTTGTGTTGGCAAAGATGGCTTGTTGAGTTTCTGCCAAATGTTGTGATGGATGCTTTCTGACTTTAATCTTGATTTTAACTCCAGATTGCCAAGCTGTTTGGAGAAATATATTTGTTTGCTAAGTTTCTTAGCAGATAGTTTTACTAAAAAAAACTGTTGAGGAATAGGTGTTCTTGTAATTTTTATTGTAACACGTCTGTGTTATTCTGTATAGTAGCCCAGTAAATAGAGACAGAAATAGGGGGGTTAACTTACAAACGGTCCGGTAAGTCTAAATTTTTTATATGTTGTCTAGGATGGTAAGTAGGTGTTAAAACCGCAAAATGCACAATTCTACCCCCTCCGCGCCCGCCGCCATATTGAAAAATCGAAAAAATCGGTACTTTCTAGAGATTTTCGCCTATATCTCCGTTTTGGTGCGTTTTAGCGAGAAATATGTAATTGCAATGTTGTAGACAATTAAATTTTCTATAATATAAGTATAACAATTTGGTTCTAAGACAGTAGTAGGATACGAAAATATTCAAATTATTTTACAATGAAACTTAAATTTTTTTGTTATTTTGCCAAATCTCTGTCATTAGATCGCTGTAATTCAGTAATGAAATATTCTAGGATAACAAGTATCCCAATCACATGTATAGAGCATTTAATTACCTACAAAATGCTTCTATTCTTTTATCCAACCGTTTGATGTGTGGCTGAAAAAAAAACAAATTAAAAGAATGGGTCTATTTTTTCGCTTTTGTGACCTAAAAATTAACAAATTAACTTTCAGTTTTCGGTTTAATTTTCAGTTAATGAAACCATACTTACTGTACTTTCTACATGTAACAGTGCAATGCTCATGATGCAGGTACTATATTCCTCCCTTACAAATATACACTGGTGAGAGGAGGTGTTAAATTTAAAACAACCCACCAACACAGCAAGTAAATGTTTAAAGATTCATTTATTTAAACAAAATAGGATCAAAATAAGATAAATACGTAATGTCAATGTTGTAGACGGTTAAATATCCTAATATATTATGTATAGTAATTTGTGTGGACTTGTATGGATACGAAAAAATGGTGTTTGCCGTAAAAATAAATAAATGAAAATATTCAATTTTGTTTACTGTAACAAATCAAACTTTCTGTTATTTTGCAAAATTTCTTGCATCAAGGGATTCATCAAGGGGGTTCATAAAGGGTGAACATCAAATCGATTCAAGAACAATTAAATCCCGCCTACTGGAGTAGTACGGTGAACAACAATTAGGATATCATTGTTGATACTCACAAAAAAAACGACAATCTGTTTCAAAAATACAGGATATACAATACTCACCGACAACTGGTACAGTACAATGAAATCCACAGATCGAGAAGGAGAGAGACTAAGAGTAGTAAAAGCAGCAGCAGACACAGTTTTGGAAGATATTAGATGTCAGGTGTACAATACCACAGAATACCCACCCACTGACCAGATTTTGAATGATGTTACAACAGTTATTCCACAATCTTTGCCCACTCTCCGTTATATCAATCCGTTATAACAAAGAACAAGAAAAGATCTCTGGAGAAATTGAAAAAGAAATGTGTGGCCTTATCGCACGCTGTCATAGCTGCTGCAATACCAAGGTCCTTTGTGTCACCCCTTGTGACTGGATTAAGTGTATTCATGTACAAAAAGTTTGGTTCAAAGCTTCTGGTAGATTTAATGTCATCTTTTGGATTTTCTTCCTCTTATCACGAAGCACAATTACTTGAAGTGTCTATCATGCAACAACAACTACCTCTGGTGAAACCCAACCGTGGCGATGCTTTCTGCCAACTGGTTTTTGATAACGCCGACTTCAACGTCAATACTCTAGATGGTCGAGGGACTTTTCATGCCATGGGTGGAATAATATGCATAACCCCATAAGATGCCTACTAAACAAGCAAAGCTCCAGTAATAAATTTTCTAATATGTTAGTTATTTAGTTTATTTTAATTCTATTAGCCATTAGTTTACTTATTTATTAAACGTTTATTATTACAGTATTTTATCTTATTTTGTTTAAATAAATGAATCTTTAAACATTTACTTGCTGTGTTGGTGGGTTGTTTTAAATTTAACACCTCCTCTCACCAGTGTATATTTGTAAGGGAGGAATATAGTACCTGCATCATGAGCATTGCACTGTTACATGTAGAAAGTACAGTAAGTATGGTTTCATTAACTGAAAATTAAACCGAAAACTGAAAGTTAATTTGTTAATTTTTAGGTCACAAAAGCAAAAAAATAGACCAATTCTTTTAATTTGTTTTGTTTGTTATTCAGCCCCACATCAAACGGTTGGCCTAAAGAATAGAAGCATTTTGTAGGTAATTAAATGCTCTATACATGTGATTGGGATACTTGTTATCCTAGAATATTTAATTGTTGAATTACAGAGATCTAAAGAACGAGATTTGGCAAAATAACAAAAAAAATTACGTTTTATTGTAAAATAATTTGAATATTTTTGTATCCATAAGTCTTAGAACCAAATTGTTATACTTATATTATAGGAAATTTAATTGTCTACAACATTGCAATTACATATTTTTTGCTAAAACGCACCAAAACGGAGATATAGGTGAAAATCTCTAGAAAGTACCGATTTTTTCGATTTTTCAATATGGCGGCGGGCGCGGAGGGGGTAGAATTGTGCATTTTGCGGTTTTAACACCTACTTACCATCCTAGACAACATATAAAAAATTTAGACTTACCGGACCGTTTGTAAGTTAACATACCTCTATTCACTGGACTATAGGGTGTTATTTAAAATATAACCTGATTTATGTTACTGTATGAAGGATTAGAGTAAATTTGTGTAACCCCTGCCTTAAAGATTTCTTACATAGGCATACTGTATTGCCTTTAAAAGTAAAACCACATTGCCCTCTCAACCAGCTTGGGCAAGCCCTGCTTTATTGCCAGTCTATGTACCATGTTTTAGCAGTTCCTAGCCAGGCTTCCCGTTTGTCTTCTGACATCTAATAATAATAGAGTGATGAGTGAGTTCAATACTAAATGGGTTATTTTTCAGTCCACCGACCTTCAAGACCGCAACTCCTACCACCAGAACACATTCGAAGCAACTGTTGATGAAAGAGAAAGCGCTTGAAGAAATTAAACAAGAACAAAAACTCAAAGAGAAACAGAGATTAGAACAGGAAAGAAGTGAGAAAGAGAGACAAGAAGCGGAAAGTAGATTACAAGAAAAACAAACAAGGTCTTTCCCCAGAGTTCCTCACAATGTTGGAGTCCATTTTGATGTGCCTTCGCAAGTTTTTAAGGTATTACAACTTTGTAGTTTAGAAAAGCTCTAGTGAATCCAGGCACATTTTCTCCTAAAATATACAATTTAAACCAAAATTCCTTCATAAAAAGTCAAAAATTTTGAAAAGATTTCAAAAGTTTTAAACATTCCTCAAACCATAAACATCCTTAAACATTTCAATTATTATTTAGATCTTAAGTAATACCTCTGGATATTATGATAGAGCAACATTTTGCTGAGTAGACAAGCACTAAAATTAAATTATAAATGTTTGTTTAGGAACAAATTTAATAGGTTTTGATTTGAGGAGAATTGGATTAAAATAAAATACCTACAGATACTTACACAACAAAAACCATCAGTGCGAGACCTGTCCATAAATTAAGGTTTTGCGTCACAACCATGGGCGCCCGCAGGATTTGGAACAGGCGGTGCAATAGATAACAAACATCCGGGGTCCAGGGGCCTTCCCCTTGGCAAATTTCTGAATATACTGTTTTTAAACGAATTGTTAACTCATATAAAGCTTCCAAATAAAAATGAATATTGTGCATCAAGGAACAGTCACAAGGGTGGGGGCGAACCAGGGGGTATGGGGGGTTCAGGCCCCCCCCCCCGAACAATTTGTGTAAACTAAGTCTCCAAAATGGCAGTTTAATACCATTTCTTTGTCCAAAGTTAGCGTGACAAATTATTTTACGCAATGTATACTGTATGCACTACTGTATTACATGCAGTAAAAAAAAATATGTAATATGTATGCCCGAGGGAGGGAAGGAAGGATGGTAAGAGCTATTTAAAGTTAAGTTATGTGTAATTTATATGGTTAAATCCACGAGCTAAACAATTTAGAAAGGAACATAATTCACAGTTGAATTAAGAAACATCCAAGAACTTGATGTTTTGAAAATGTTGTTATAAAGTATAAGAGTAGTACGTCTGTGCCTCCCCTACTTATTTGATTTAAACATTAATTGAAAATACATTCGTAAATTGGCCATTATGAAAATTGCAGAAAATTTCAGGTATTAAATTTATTTCCTAATTTTTATAGCCAGGGGGGTGCAAGTGGACCCCCCTGAGGGTGCCCACGTCACAACCTAGCAGTGTAAAATATGAGACTAATGTAGTGTTCTTTACTTCATCCACTATTTATCCTAGACGGTTCCCATCTTCTGCCTAGTAAAACAATAATTATAATAATAATAATGTGTTCTGCCTAATAGTCTCATCGTAGTAGCCAAAAACGATGTGAAGGAAAATGTTGCTCCCGCCGAGTAAAAATCACTCAAAACAACTTCTGTTGTTAAATTTTTGGGTTCAAAGCGTCTGCCGTTATTTAAATCTGTTGAAAGTTAACAGATGGGTATGCATAAAAGTGTCATCATGTACAACCTGTGTTTATCAGTTTCTATCAATGCGGTGATTAAAGTTGAAGAAATCTTCCTTCCTGACTGACATTCCTGCGTGTTTAAGACTAGTAGGAATTACTGTTGTCCTTAGTCTCATACAGACGTCCTCTATCAGTTAGGGAATCTCTTCTTTGGACATACCACGACTCGTTTGCAACATTCCTCTAGCGAAACTGATAAACAACTGCAGCGAGCCTACACTGCAATGTACACGGCTAATGTTCAAAACCACCTCAGAATTCAACCTTCTCCTTACAAAGATTCTCCAACGCTTACCTTCATCCACATTCGTCAACTTTCGGTGGACTGCAACAGCGGTTGCCTCTCAGAGAAACCTAATCACAGATTGTGATTCATACTTGGTGGGAGCGTTGATTTTCATTCATATAGGCTAGTACTCGTCTACTATAGACTACAAGTTTGATGGAAGCAGTAGCCTGCTGGAAGAGGAGTAGTGGATGAAGTAAAGATTACAGTGCTTGTGTCAGTTTTTATCTAGCTCTCTATGCCGCAACGGTAGCTTGGCAAAGACCTAAATTTATCGACAGCTCTTATACTTTTTATGAAAATAACTGGAATTTAAATACAGTAGAATCCCGCAAACTCGGCACTCGATAACTCGGCAGTCTGGAAAACTCGGCCATCACCTGGCTATGATAATTAGTGATTTTTTGAGTCCGAGTTAAACATTGACTCAAGCCAGCTCAAGTCATATAATTCACAACTCTGTACCAAGGATTTGTACTACAAAAATGTGCGACTGGGAGTAACGCAATACAGTAGAGTCCCACAAACTCGGCGTAATGTGGATTGGAAGGGGGCCGAATTTGTGAAATGCCGGATTATTGGGAACTAGGGTTAAAAATAAGATCAATACAATTTTAAAGCTTTTTAACCGCCTTTTTTATATAACAAGCCAGTATTAAGTGACTATATCTGATCTTGTATATCTGATCTTGTACTATATCTGATCACTTAATACTGGCTTGTTATATAAAAAAGGCGGTTAAAAAGCTTTAAAATTGTATTGATCTTATTTTTAACCCTAGTTCCCAATAATCCGGCATTTCACAAATTCGGCCCCCTTCCAATCCACATTACGCCGAGTTTGTGGGACTCTACTGTATTGCGTTACTCCCAGTCGCACATTTTTGTAGTACAGAATAATTAGATAAGCAAATAATCACCATAAACCTACTTAATCTAAAAATCAAGGTTTTAAGGTAATTTTAAGTGGTTTAAATATTGTTGTCCTTATACTGTAAAAAATTATCCTTCCATAGTCTTTGACCATGTTTTGGTTCCAGGTGAAATCAGTTCTAGAGAACCCAACACAATACCATGTGGTTGAAAAACAAAAGATGCAAGTGCGGCAATACCTGCGGGACGAGATGGCTCAGTTGCGAAGGTCGTCTCTCCCGATGTCTCAGGCCAGCAGTATGCCACCTGCACAGACCCCGGCCCCGTCACTACCACTACATACCAACAGCTTACCTCCGCCTCAGCCCCACACATACACAGCGGGGCCTCCACTGAGCCCCGACGTCCCCATGTCTCCTGGACTCAGCTCAGTTGCCACCAGTGTGTCAGAGGTATGTACATGAGCATGTTTCACCTTTGAACCTTTCTTCACAAACCATTCTATTCAAGTTTCACCACCTGAGCCCACACCAACTACCTGTACCACAATACCGACCCATACCATTGAATGCTGCTTTTAATTTTTGCTTTGTATATTTGTTGATTATGCCAGGTTCAAGAAGTGAATCATATTAGCTATTTCCTTAGTATTGCCTCAGTTCTTGATCTAAAAGTTTATACCTTTTACCAGCTTGTGTGACATCTTCAGAGGATCTTGTATTATCTTAATATCACTACTATTGTCTATATTTACAAATATTTACACACGTCACTGGCATATCACAGTCAGGTTGAGCGAGTAGCTTGACAATGGACATATGGGAGACTCAGTTGGTGGGAGGTCTTTCTCCGCTTTCCTCACTATTCTAAACAAAACCATTACTGAATGTATAAGAAAGTTACTAAATACAAGCATGCAAATTTTAATGGATATAACAACTTCCAAACTCAACCAGCTCTTGAACTTACAACTTAATGTAGGATGGTGATAATGATAAAACTGGAAACACAGCAACAAACTGGCAACACTCTGAGATCAAAGCATCCGCCCGATCATTAACCTGTACGTCCCTACCCTCAGCCGTCGAACACCTCTAATTTCTACACCTCCTGTCCAATAAATACAACGGACAAAGAATCATTGTGTGTCCGTCATAACGTTACTCGCTCCACCTAACTGCAATACCAGTGAATTGAGTGAATATTTGAAGTACAATAGTGACAGTGATATGAAGATAGCGTAAGAAGACCCCCTGAAGATGCCACATAATCTGACGAAATGTACATAGGGTTCACAAACGGCTATGTATTACACATGTCAAAGTCTTATCCTATCAGGAGCTGAAGAGGGCCTCAATGGACTCCCCTACTGGAATTTCACAATCTTGTTCCAACAAGCATTGCAAAGTGTCAAAACCAAATATTCAACAAAAAATTTTCAAATAAATATGTTCTTTATCTAGAATTGTTTAAAAAATCTACATAACTGGAAATTCACAATTTGTTAGGTTCTAAGGGTTCTAAGGGTAGGCCCTAATATGAGCGTAAAATGAGCATCATACTTATGGCCCTATCAAACCCTCCATTTAGGATAATTTTATTTAATGTTCAATGATGGACATTGTAACAAATGTTGTGACAATGTACCAGTCTGCTCTTCAAGGTTAGGAAGGAAGTAGATAACAGCTGCTGATAAATCCTACAACAGTACCATACCCAGATATGAGAGTCTGACGAATCATTTATCATTGCACACACAGTACATGTTGTTGTTGAATCGAGTAAAAAAAGGAAGAAGGTAATACAACATCATAATAGCGATATGAAAGTAATTATAATGGGGAAAGACCAGACTTATTTGTCACCGTGACTTCACAGCCACTTGAATAAATCTAATTGTATTTGAAAGCAGAATCCGTAAAAAAGATGTACACCCCAAAACAATGGTGGTAATCAGAGTGTCCAAACTAAATAAAATACCCCCGCCGCAGCAAACCTGCCGACTAAGCGAATTTCCATTTGTCTGAATTGATTTTCAGTTAAATATATTTTAATAACATTAGGTTTAACGAGTACCTAGGTTTGCTGCTACAAGGAAACTAATAAAGTGTGTTTTTGAGTAAAATATTGATAGCTTAGTACAAAATAAATAAATTTGCCAAGTTTGATCAAAATATATCCATAAACAAGCAAACTACAACATTTGACAATATTCTCCATAAGAATAACATGGGAATTTTAAATTTACAATTTTTTAAATTTTCTCCGTTACTAATAATTGAACAAAAATACTTTTATATACTAAATTATTTGTTTTTTTAAGCTCTTTAAAAAGGTCTAAAGAGAAATCGGGAAATTTTGTGTTTTGAGGGTCAAAAGTGAGAAAAACCAATTTTTCCCCATAAAACCCCCCGTAAAGCCCCGTTCCCATGGTCCAATCGTGCTGGTTCGCGAACTCATTCAAGTTTATCCTGCTTTACACCTTTAAACCAAATTTCATCAAAATCGGACAAAAATTACTCAAGTTATCGCGTTCACGGACGTATATATATATATATATATAAGTCTATATATATATATATATATATATACATATATAAAAATTTGAACGAATGGTGTTTTTGGCCTCTGGGGACATCAAAATGAAAAAGTAAATCGGTCCCGGGTCTAGGTGTTACCGTGCCACCTACGGTAATAGCTACTTCCCTATAGGGAAATTCGCTAAAAACAAAAAAAACAAAAAAAAAACTATGAGAGCTTTCTTAGAGATAAAGAAGTAATAACAAAAATCAAAATAGATAACTCAGGTGGGCATAGAGGAGGACACAAAAATAAAAGAAGGGTCAGAAGGTTTAAGAGGAATGCAACCTTTGAGAAGAATAAAATCATCTTGATTCAGCTTGGATTCGAAAATGGCAGCCATTTAAAATTTTTAAACTTAAATTACTCAAAAATGGCTGGTTTTAAGAAAAAATGGCAAGAACACCTTTATTTAGCATTTTTAATTATATTATCAAACGATACCATTTTCAAAAAGATCAAATAATAAATAGCTGAAATATTACGATTTTTAGTTGTAAAATGGGGTTGAATAAGGCAGAAGCTAGTCAGGTTTGCCCCATTTTACAACTAAAAATCATAATATTTGAGCTATTTCTCATTCGATCTTTTTGAACTTGGTATCTCTTCGGGCTTCAACTAGTTAATAAGGGCTTTCTTAGGGAGGTGTGAGATTAAAATAATGTTCCTTGAATTATGCACATGAGGTACTGTTACTCCTAAAGCTGCTGGTTGTCGATATCGCATAGTTTTCTATAAAAACAAGCGCCCGGAAAAATACTTTGTGTCCTACGTTACGTATCTTTTAACAATTAAAAAACCCATTAATTACTTAAAATATAAACCAAGACTACTGAAAACTCACTAAAAATAATTAATAATTTTCATCTAATTCCTAACAACATGCTTACGTTATACGGTTGATTGGCAGTCGGTGTGACAAAAAATAATTGGTGTAAGTACAAAGTAAATGAAGTGTGATGATGGATATAAGATGTTCCAAGTCTAAAAATTAGCTTCCCAATGAATTATTTTAGGTTTTTCAAAAATAACCATGTTTTTTAACTTAATACAGCAATTGCTCAATTACCTGAAAATGGATTTGAGTAGATGATGTCATTTTCGTGTTCTAAATTAAATGTTGAATAAGAATAATATAAAATGGTGGAGGATCAATAGTAAAACCCCCATTGTAAATAGATCCAAAGATAAAAAATAAGGTCCAAAGATCCAATGATGTGCCTTCATTTAGTCTCTTACAAACGCTATGCAGGCGTGTACTGCAAATCACGGAGACTGAAACTGAAGGTGCCAATAAATGTCCATACAATCTTTGTGATATCCACAGCTGGTCTTAAAGCCACGTTTTTTCCATTGTTTGTATTCATTAATAAGTATAATATTAATTTACCATGAAATAGATTTATTAATACTCCTACTTCTACAAGTATTTTCAGTTGTATATTATTTAATTGTTTAAACAATAGAATTTTTTTAGAGCCCTTGGATTTTGACCATGGACTAAACATGCTTCAATTAACTGATTCTTCATACTGTAAAAATTTAAAGTTAGTTTATTTTTAAGTCTTCAGACAATTATTTGTCCAACCCGAAAGAGATTTTTTGCCCTAATTCGCTAAGTGGATCTCCAAAATAACATAGAACCATTCAAATAATTTGTATATTTAATTATACAATATAAATGCTTGAATTAATTACAAATACTTGTGTAATTCGGCGAGTTTTTTTTCTTCTTGCTACCAAAAAGTTATAAGACATTAACCTGTCCAGAAGTAACTTGTGAATTATTTGGCAATGTTGGTTTATACAAATTATATGATACAATGTTTTCCTAAAATCCACTACCTAGCTACTACACATTGTATGTCCTCACAGAAAAAATCTAAGTGTCCATATCCCAGGGCCAAGTGATTGGTGACCAAAATCCAGGAGTTTAAAAACAAAATTCCAAGAGCTAAAAGACGAAAGTCTATTAGACTAAAGAAAAATACAAAAGACCAGGCCCGTGATTTGCATGTGATGTTTTATGGACCCAAGAGATAATCCACCTGACCTTGTAGGGGAATTTTTCTCTTTCGTGCAACCCTAACAAACCTAACACCTCTTGCGTCCCTGTGCCCATTTATGGAAGCGGCCCTGCAAAAGTCCAAGATTCTAAAGACTAAAGTCCAAGAGTCTAAAGACAAAAGTCCAAGAGTCTAAAGAACAAGTACCAAGAGTCTAAAGACAAAATTCCAAAAGTCTTAAAGTCAAAAGTGCGGCTGTGCAAGAATGGCCCCTGAGTGACTGGTCTACTTTCTTTGAGCTCCACTTTCAGACAACAAGGTCTACTTTGTATTCAAATTGTACGTTTGGCAACAACAGGTAATCTGTCATCTGCACACTACTCAAGTGTGTTGACATTTTGACTGAGTTCGAGGTGATAAAACTGACAAATGTTTGATTAACACCAAGTAATAGAAGGTATTTTCACCAATTTGTGTAATAGTCAACTCAGTCCCTATAGTCTACTGTTACCTAGTCTTTCAAACACTTTGTTTAAGTACCTCACTTTTTGTTTCTGTATATAGTTCTGTGTTTTTCAAATGATTTTTAACTATTTATTTTCTTGTTGTCTTTGTTATATTTAGTGAAGATTCCATGTTATAGACCATGTTATACTATCTAGAATCTATTGCCCTTTTTGGCACCTTTTTATTGTTGACGAGGTCTATTGTAACTCTGTTATTTAATGACCAATAAATATTTAATAAAGTGTTACAATGGGTTGCATTCTGAAAAGAGAGTACACAATTTCTTCTTAATAACGATTGTATAGATCAGGATGACACAAAGAGAGAGACGAGGGAAAGACTCCCAAAAATCACACTAG